AAGCCCCACATTTCCTTGTTAAGACCACAAAGCCTGCCGCATCATGTAGAGAGGGGTTAGGGGCGTGACAAGGCCTCTTGTCGCCTACGTACATTCGCACAGGGGGTGACACCAAAGGATTTGGACAGCTTGAGGCAGGAAGTAGTTTGGTGACCCACCGATAGGTCAGAGGGCACCTATTCCTTCGTGCGTCCAGTGGGAGCCGATCCAAGGTTCGTTTCTCATGGCCCACGACGGCCGGAAGACGAGGCCAGGCTGTTCGCAATCCGCACGAAGCGAGTGCACCGCAGCTCGGCAAAGAACGAGGCAAAAAGGCTTCAGTTGTGACCGTCATGCCATGCGACGTCACCTGTGTCTGGCTCAGAAAACGCACATTTGCCAACGTGGAGTTTGGGATCGGGCATCCGAGTCCAATTTTTAGCATTTTTCTTGTGCGTGTGCGTCTTTTCGGTGTGCCTTTTGCCTGTATGAGGCTTGTGATTTATGATGGTTGACCACCCTCATCCGGGGTTCGTCCAAAACCCTGGTCAATTAAGATTAGTCAAGGAGGAACTTTGAGTTTTGTATGTGTGACTTGCATCACTTGTATGGCGGGCAAGAACAAGGGCGAGCGCAAGGTTTCATGAAGGTTGACCTTGCTTTGAGCACGTATTGTCCTTCTTGTTTAAGTTCGGGCACAAGACTCGTATGTCTCTGTGTACGAAAATTTGCTTGGCAGCAGGCTGGCGCACGTTGTTTTTATTTCTTCTTTTTTTAGCAGCAAATGGCTGCCCTTTGCTGTGACTTGCTTGTCCTGTTGTGAGTAACTTGTGTTGGAGAATCGATTGAAGCATGTGCACATCCACCCACGCGGAACCACAAGATACCGGCAACTCGCAATGGTTGTTGGGCGTTCACTCGTTTCTTGTTCACCGCTTGGATTATCAGGGCATCCACTGTTGATGTATTTTTGCTTGAGCTTTGCAGTGTAGGCAGGTTGTTCTTACTTGCTGGAAGTTTTGACCCGGTTCAGGCGCAAGTTTAGCGGAAGGTTGGCCAGCTATGGTTTTCAATGGGCAACACCCTTAAATTTCAAATCGCTTCGCAGAGAAAACTTGCCTGCCATCCCAATTTTGTTCATTCCCATCTAAGTGCTTGGTGGTGACCTGAGGCAACTTGCGCCTGGCCTTCAAAAAGTTTCGGCGCCTCGGCTGAATCCAAGTGCCCGGTGGGTGCCGTTGGCTTGCACACAGCTGGTTCAAACATAATTCGATGCTGGTTTTTCTTTTGCTTACGATTCTCACGCATTATTTTTTTTCACCGATCGCCGGTTGGCTGCACGGCCCCGATCTTTGATGCCTGGTTAGGCAATTCATCTGCGAAATGCTCTGTAGATGCACGTGGGGCCCCAAAAAAAGCAGGCTCCTCTTTCTTAAAAATGGATGGCATTTGGGAGCTAACACACGTCCTCAGGTTGACACACGTCCTCAAGTCAAGGGGAGGTCCAGATTGTGGCCTGTGTCAACTCCGGCTTAGTTTTGGAACCACAATCCGAAGAATCCCCCTAAACTGTCAACCAATGGCTTTCCAATGTGAAAAGATTTCTCTTGCAGTTAGCTTTACAAGATCAGATCGAGCATGCGTATGCAGAGAGTTAGCGCGCAGAAAGATGAAGCAAGAATGAGCGCATGCGAGAGAATATGCGGGGGCATGTGGCGAGGGAATAGAAATCGTGAAATAATAACAATAATAACAATAATAATAATAATAATAATGATAATCATAATGATAATAATAATAGTAATAATAAAAAGAACTGACCTATTTCGTGGCAGGCGCAGCGCTCTTGCATTTGCGGTGCAGATTTCGTGGCAGGCGCAGCACTTTCGCAAGGCCGGTTGAAGATTTCGTGGCAGGCACAGGACGTGCGCACGGTCGCGTGCAGATGACGTGGCAGGCACAGCACTTTTGCAAGGTCAGGTGCGCATTTCGTGGCAGGCGCAGCACTGTCGCAAGGTCTGGTACGCATTTCGTGGCAGGCAGCACCAAGCCGAGAGAAAAAGAGAAAAGAGAAGATAAAGAGAAAGAAAGTACAAACATAAGAGAAGAGAAAGAGAAAGAGAAATAGGAGCAGAAAATGAAGAGAAAGAGAAATAGAAAAAGCGAAATAGAAAAAAGAGAGAGGGAAAAAAGAGAGAAAGAGAAATGGAAAAAGAGAGTGGGAAAGAAAAAGGAGAAAGATAAATAGAAAGAGAACGAGAAAGAAAAGAGAAAAGGAAGAAAACGAGAAATAAAGGAGAAAGAGAAAGAGAATGAAAAAGAGAAAGGGAAAGAAGTGAAAAAGATAAGCAAACAAGATAAGGATAAAGAGAAACAGAAAAAGAAGAAAAGATAAAGACAGAAATCGAGAAAACAAAAACAAAGAGAAAGAGACAGAGAAAGCAAAGAGAAAAGAAAGAGAAAGAGAAAGAGAAAGAGGAAGAGAAAGAGAAAGATAAAAGAAAGAGAAGAGAAAGAGAAAGGAAAGAGAAAAGAAAGAGAAAGAAAACAGAAAGATAAGGAGAACAAGAAAGATAAAGAGCAAGAAAGGATAAAGAGAAAGATAAATATAAAGAGAAAGAGAGAAGGCAAGAAAAGAGAAAAAGAAAGGAGAGACAGAACAAAGAGAAAACCAAGAGAAAGAGAAGAGAAAGCAAAGAGAAAAGAACGAGAAAGAAAAAGAAAGAAACTTCTAAAGAATGAGAAAGAGAGCAAGAACAGACAAAGCTAAAGATTAATATAAAGAGAAAAACAAGAGAAAGGGCAATAACATCAAAAAAAGACAGATAAAACAAACAAAATGAAGAGAACGAGAAAGAGAAAGAAAAGAAAAAAGAAAAGAGAAAGATAAAGAGAAAGAGAAGGAGAAAGAAAACGATCAGAAAGGGAAGGGGAACTAAAAGAAAGAGACAGAGAAAGAGAAAGAGAACGAGAAAGAAAAGAGAAAAGGAAGAGAAAGAGAACGAAAAGAGAAAGAGAGAGAAGAAGGACACCTATAGATTTTATATTTCTATCAACTTCCGACTACCGGCTTTGCAGGCTCTCTTTCATGGGACCTCCGGGTCACAGGGCCCCTTGAGGATGCATTTGGTCTGATTTGGAGGATCTCCTTGTAAAGCAGGTGGGTTTGTTGCATCCTAGAAGGGACCCTGGATAGCCAGAAGTTGACATCCGCACTGGCTTGGTCGGGGGCCCCGCTGCCCCGACGCCCCGAGGACTGACCAGGCTGCGGCTCGGTTGCAGCTTTCTTTGAGTTTCTGCACTTCATACTTTTGTGCAATGTCATTTCATTGGTTCAGTAGGAAACGAACAGCTCAGCCTTCTGTTTGGCTAATTTACTCAGGAAGTGAGTTCCTCCTCGAGTAGTCTTGCTGGCCCGTCAAACTTGGCGGTGGATAGCCGAGGCCATTCAGAAGCTTTTTGAGCACGTGGACCGCGGCGGTGACAGCCGCTCAACTGACTTGCCAGGGAATTCATTCCCCAAAGGAAGGCCTCAACCAAAGAGGCGGCAGTGGGAATTGCGCGGTCTTGAAGTCTTGAGATTTGGGTGTGCCTTCCAGTTTTCAGTTTGGCTCAAAGAACCTGGGCTTCAAATCCCTAAGCCCCCCCATCAAAAACAATCAAGGGCGTGGGAAATTGAACAAGTTGAGTCGCCCAGACAAAATCTCCATGAACGAGCTCTTGGCCTTTGTTCGCTTCGATCTGCGCCTTGGCACGAGTTGCACCCCCCTTTTTGGATTGCGCATGGAAGCAGAAGGAGCACCAACCAATTTGGAGGTCCCATGTTGCGCTTTGAGGCGGTGCCTGGGCGCGGCCTGTTTAAAACTACACAAAATTATTTGAGCGCGGAAATGTAAAGTGCATTCAGTGCCTGGGTTGCTTGGATCTTCTCCAGGCCTCCTTCTTTGATGGCCATGCCATCCGCAAGACTTTCTCAAGCAAAAACTTGCCTGAGCAGACGGCCGGGAGGAGTTTGTGATGTTTGGCCAACTTTGTGGCTCTGAAAAGCCGCTCCAACAAACCCTACCCTCGTAGCGGATCCTGGGAAGTTGCTGGGACGTGACCAAAACGGGAGAACTGGCCGTGGGTCCTTTTTTTTTTTTTGGCTGTTGGTTTCAAAGCAAACCAGCCATGTTTCGGTTTGCAGGATTATCCAAGATTTCGGTTGATTGCCGGGGATCCCAGCCAAGGCAGCTGTCGCAGTGGGACATTTTCGAATCCGACGCCTGGCTGCAGCTTCACATTTGTTGAGCCACTTGCTCATCTGCTCGTTCATGTTGTTCTTCTTTGGGCATCTTTCAAAAGGATCCCCCCAAGTTCCAGAATGCATTTGGGGCTGGTGATGTTCAGGATTCAGAGGGTCTCAAAATGACCCGCGGAGGAGCTGAAGGCCTTCTACAAGGCGATGGACCAGGATGGAAACGGCGCCCCGGATGCACGAGAGCCTGAGGGCTTTCTGAGAGGAAGACCAAAACTGGAGCTCAAGGTGTCGATGTGGAAGAGTTCCTGCAGTTCTTGCAGACGACCAAGCCCTTTGCGAAGGAGAAGGGCAGTGGAAACTCGCTGCAGCCTGAGACACGTTTGGGCCAGGTGCGGTTGCAGCTTTTGGGGGGCCTTGCCCAATTGTGCTTTGAGAGAGCTGCTTGGCTTGAAGCATGAAGTCAAAGATGCGCGCACACACACACACGCACACACATAGCGACGTTTCCCACCTGACGCCAGCCTGAAAGCCAAAAGGAAAGGGCATGTTTGATGCCTCGCCATGACTATCATGCCGTTGGTGCCTCAAAGAGCCTCACTCGCCAGATATGTGCCGTGGCCAAAAAACAACTTGCTCCAACCACTACTTACTTGTGGGCTTAGTAGGTTTGGTCATGGATCCCTCAACGAGTTTCGAACATCATGGTTTGTTATGAGGAACCAAAAGCCGTGGGCCATGACCCACATCAGGAGTTGGCACAGGTTTAATCCCAGAGCCAAGTGCTCCAGCCGAAAGAAGTTTGAGTCCGAAGCCATTCGCCGATGAGCCACGCCAATGGTCTCCCAGCCTCGGCGCTGGGCAGAGCATGGGCCACCTGCCGCCATGCTAGGCGGGTTCTGGACTGTGGCCGAAGGTTTTTGGTGGGAAAGACGACTAGTGGCTTCCTCAAACTGTCAGTTGGGACCCTTAGGGGCCATGTCCGGGTCAATTTTTGGGGGGTACCGGTGCCGCCTTCGCCCAGCAGCACATCCAAGAGAAACAATTTGGGGCTCGGAACGTTTCCTTTCAGACCTGTACTCTTGGTAGTTTGCTTGGTCGCCGCGTTTGGGGTTTGGCCCTTGCTCTTGCTATGCCCCTGAGATCGCCGCGGAAGTGTCTTGGCATGCGCGCAACCACAGAACAAAGGGATCCAGTCTCAAGGCTGCGCTATCTCAAAGCGCTAGTGAGCGTGGCTGGGCATCTCGGGCATATCAGCACGCCTCTTGATTTAGCGGTTGCTTGCGCATTGGACAACCCACGAAAAAACGCGGGGCTGCTTTCCCAACTTCCCCCGCAGAAATGGACAAATGGGATGTTCTTTTGAGCCAAGCATATTGACACACATTCTGGACCTTGTTGCAGGCGCATCGCGCTTGATCCATCTTGGTCAACGGCCCCTGCTGGTCTTTCTACATTCGGTGGATTGTAGGGAACTCCGGGCAGTTTCTGTTTGGTGTTTGGAACCCTTGAAGCTGCTGTCCCAAAGGGGATCACACCTCCGTATGAAACGACTCCTGGGTCCAGAAACTGAACATCTGCAACATGTCCTAATGATTGAAAGCGAGCCCACCCCCACAAGCAGTTTAGAGAACCCTTCCAAATAACTTTCAGGTGCCTGGTGCTCACAACATGGGGGTTGGCCGTGGCGTCCACGCCCTTGGAGGTGGCCCGCCCCCCGCGCGCCAAAGGCGGCGAAGCGCGCGGCGAGCCGCGCGGCGCGGGCGCAGCGCAAGGCGGAAGCGTGCCTGCAGGAGCTGAGCTCAACATGGGAACAATTGAAAATGATTGGGCTCCTTTGGCCTCCCTTTCCACCCATTTTTAAAAAGGGAGCACAACCAACCAAGCAAACAAGCAGGCACAAGCAAGCAAGCAAGCAAGCAAGCAAGCAAGCAAGCAAGCAAGCAAGCAAGCAAGCAAGCAAGCAAGCAAGCAAGCAAGCAAGCAAGCAAGCAAGCAAGCAAGCAAGCAAGCAAGCAAGCAAGCAAGCAAGCAAGCAAGCAAGCAAGCAAGCAAGCAAGCAAGCAAGCAAGCAAGCAAGCAAGCAAGCAAGCAAGCAAGCAAGCAAGCAAGCAAGCAAGCAAGCAAGCAAGCAAGCAAGCAAGCAAGCAAGCAAGCAAGCAAGCAAGCAAGCAAGCAAGCAAGCAAGCAAAGCAAGCAAGCAAGCAAGCAAGCAAGCAAGCAAGCAAGCAAGCAAGCAAGCAAGCAAGCAAGCAAGCAAGCAAGCAAGCAAGCAAGCAAGCAAGCAAGCAAGCAAGCAAGCAAGCAAGCAAGCAAGCAAGCAAGCAAGCAAGCAAGCAAGCAAGCAAGCAAGCAAGCAAGCAAGCAAGCAAGCAAGCAAGCAAGCAAGCAAGCAAGCAAGCAAGCAAGCAAGCAAGCAAGCAAGCAAGCAAGCAAGCAAGCAAGCAAGCAAGCAAGCAAGCAAGCAAGCAAGCAAGCAAGCAAGCAAGCAAGCAAGGAAGCACGCGCGCGTGCACACAAGAAAGCAAGCAAGCCAGTAAGAAAGTCTGTGTGCCCATTTCGTTGGGGGAAAGCCTGAGGTTGGTAGTGTCTCGGCTTTGCCAGATGAAAACCAACCCCGGCGCGTCCGCCGTGCAAAGCATCCCCTGATTAAGAAAGGACAAAGGGGGTCCCAAGTTACATTCCTTTGGAGCACTGTGCTTCTGCTATTGCACTGTCACTTGTCCACAGTGTGACTATGCAAATGTGCAGGCAGCGGCAAGGAGCACGCAATGAGGCAACTCCCACGTCAGGGTGTCCTGATGTGGCAAACAGTTTGGTCCTCAATTCTCTCGACTTGACTCCTTTTCACAAGCCACGAAGCGGACACAAGACAAAAGAATCAACCGGGAGCTGCAGCTTCCAGATCGTATCGGCATGGGAGTTGATTGCTTGAACGGGTGGATGGTCGATTGGGATCGTGGATCCCATTTTGACAAAGACTACGGCTCGTTCTTGGCCTCCCGACATATCTAACGAAGGCTCGAGCCAGGAGGCGCGACAGGCGCAGCAGCGCTCCGACTTCCAGCATGCCGCGCAGAAGTTCGAGGACGCCGCGCTGGTGCTGCAGGGGCCCGGGGGCCCGCTTTGTTTGTCCTCTTTGGTTTGGCTCGGGCGCGTGTTGGGCGCGGACCTCCATTTTTGTATGTTTTTCTTTTTGGTGGGGAGAGAGGCGGTCGGTTGTGCCTTCCTGAAGGCATCGTGTTTTGCAGGAGGCATTGCCCCCTTTTTGAACACGTTGGGTTGTGGGGTGGCGCTTGGTTTGAGGGTCCAACTTTGGGATCATGGATTCGTGGTTCCCACACGTGGGTGCAGTAAGCTGATGAGGTGGATCCGTGCCAAGATGAAGCCTAGGGTGCTCACATTCTTGAGAAAGGTGAGGGATACTCATGTGATCCCTGGGCGTACGGGGTGAAGGTGTTGCCGGCCATGCATTCTCATGGGTGACTATTTTTCATTGACATGTGTTACAAATGCAGTGCGTGCATTAGTGCGAATGAACAAACACAAATGTAGATGAAAAAGGAGCTGTAGACAGACGCAGCCATCTCCCTTCCCACCCTTCCCCTCAGCCCGGTGACGCCTCTTCGCTTCCCAGGGCCCCTGGACCTTCCGCCGCGGTTTGCGCCGCCTGGGCGGACTGCGCAGTGTGCCGCCTGGAGCTTCAGGCGCCGTTTGAGGCGCTGGCGCGGGCCTCGGCCGGAGTCGGGCTTGTCCAGTGTCCAGATACAGCGAGGAGCTCAGGAGAAAGGGCCTGTGGAGAGAAGGACGACGGTTGAAAAGGACTTGCAGTTCCGGTTGCCAAGCTCCAAATGCGGCTTATTTTTAGCCAGTGGTTTCTGGGGCAGCAGATTGTTTATGATTGTTTGTTTTCCGGATTGACATCCTGCTACTGATCTGCGGTAAGTGTAAGGGATATGTTGCAATTTCTTTTCAGCAGTGTGGGTTTGAGAGGGCTGGCTCAGACCCGAGCCGAGGTCGCCTGCGAGCACGGGCTTCGGGGCCCCGCAGGCCCTGAGCATTGGCGCTGCGGCATGGTCAGCGCGTTGGCCTTGGAGACGCTGGGCCTCCTGAGCATCGCGGAGGAGAACATGCGCTTGGAACATGTTGCTTCTCGCGAGCCGGCTGATATGATGAGCTCACTGATGAAGGCTTTAATTCGCCTCAGCTCAGAGTCATGCGCAGGATGCCAGAGGTTCGACGCCACGAAGCGAGCAAACGATGAGCATGAAGGTTTCAAGATAACCTCTATAGTTTTTCGGGCACATCTGTGCGCCCAACCCTTCCGCTCTGTGCAGGAGCGTTTGGGCAGCGCGGCTCGCCTGGCTCGTGAGGACCGAGAGGCACGGTGCGGTGGGTTCACTTAGTGGCTGGTCTCAAAATCTATGGTCCCAACTCAAGCCACTCCAGAACGCTGCTGTTGGAACCCAAAGCCATCCCAATGGATTCCCTGAATATCGCAAGTGAAGCAACCACATCGCGAGTGTTTTTCACCCAGCTCTTCCAACGCTCAAAGAGCCCAGGGCATGCAGGCGGCCCTGGAGGGCCTGCGCCGGGTGCGGGCGCGCAGCGCCCAGCTGGCAGCCGGGGAGCCGCAGGCGGGAGACGCGTTTCGGGGAGAAGCGGATGGCTTGGCCCAGGCCTCCGGCAGGTTTCCGATTTGCTAGTGTCTTCCCGTTTGTTGGAAAAAGTCTCTTCCATATCAGGTGGCTTACCTTCCTTGGTCGTAGGTGAAGTTCCTGTTCAGTTTTCTTGCCAGTTTTCTTTTTCATTTTGGTCTAAATAAGTCTGAACGCTTTCTAGCTAGTCAATTTAGTTGGACCCAGACTTTGTGAATGGTTCTGCGCAATCCCTTCGTGCATGTACTCGCTCAGGGAAGGGCCCTTCCCCACATATGAAGTTATGCATGGGGGTGGCCAATATTCTTGTCGGTTGGCAATGGGGATCAAAGCGACCTGCGGGGGCCCAGAATGGTTTCGCACATGTTTTGGGCTTCGGGATGTGTGGTTTGGTTCGTTGTTTTGGTGTGATTCGCTTCCGGCAAGCGTTGGAAAACCATCTTGCTCCCTGGTTTGGGGCAAAGCCTCCCAGTGGCAGGGAGATGCGCACCAAGAATTTTCTCAGGGCTGTTCTTCCCTCTGGCGCGAGCCATCGGGAGGCACTTATGGAGGAGATCCAGAGGATGGGGGCCTTGTTGGGCGATGAAGAGGCGCGGCAGCGAAGAGGAAACACGACAAGAACCTCACAACTATAAGGTGCCCCTCCCATGAAGAAATGACTCCTGTTCATCCCTTTTAGGTTTGCATGTGTTCAACCTCGAGGGTCAAGATTGAGAGTCTTGCACCGTTGCGCTGGATATGTACTACATGGTGTTACAGCAACCTCGCCCCATGGCACTCTCGGAAATGGGGTTGCAAGCACGAGTGCCGTACGCTTTCAACTTTCAGCGTTTGTGCCATTTTTGTTCCTTGCGGCTCTCGGAATTTTCACCCCAGGTTTGGGTTTCGAGGCGGGCTACTGGATCTCCTGCGTGGGGGAGCGGAGCCGAAGCGCGGAGGGCCAGGCGGAGCTGGTGCAGAAAGGACCGGGACCTTGGGAGGTGCCCGTGCCAGCCTGGATTTGCGGAAGGCCAAGGAGGAGAACCATCACTTTGGCCCCCCTTTTTGACGCGTACCCGGGTTCTGCCTTTGTTGTTGCTTGTTTTTGGTGGGGTGCGGGCAAGGTGTGTTTGTTGTCCTCCTTTCTAAGATGTGTCCACGAATGTTGGCGTGAGGCATCTTCCGAATGCTTAGTGTTTAGTGGACACAACTCTTGATGTGTGTAGGGGGTTTTCCTTTTTGGCATCCTTCTCTCGACTTGCTTGGAGAGGTTGCTTCATGATTGAAGCCTTTATTCAAACAATGTCCATGCCAACTTGTGTCCATGCACTCCGTTCACACCAAGCGCGGCACGTTTCGGGCTTCGACTGGCTTTCGAGGGCAACCCAACAACAGGCTTTTCATGAATGCACTTTCACTGGATGTCGGCAAGGCCGTCCACCCTATGCGTCTCATACCTTTCTCCCACACCCTCAGCGTCAGCCGCACTGCTCCACGTATTGCTCGGGGCACTAGGGGAGCTTGAGCCGAAACACATTTGGGTCAACCGTTGTTTCCAGGTGATCATGCTTTTACGCTCCAAGTACAGACATGTATTTTGGAATGATTGATTTCTCTGTGGTTTTGTTCGGTAAGACATACCCACTCCTGTGACGCCTTTTTATATTCCAAAAACACTGTATGTCAATTGGGGTTGCCTGTCATTGCCTGTCATTGTCTGCCCGCCTGCCTGCCTGCCTGCCTGCCTGCCTGTCTGCCTGCCTGCCTGCCTGCCTGCCTGCCTGCCTGCCTGTCTGTCTGTCTGTCTGTCTGTCTGTCTGTCTGTCTGTCTGTGTCTGTCTGTCTGTCTGTCCGTCCGTCCGTCCGTCCGTCCGTCCGTCCGCTGTCTGTGTTTGTCTGCCTTTGCTGGCTCTTATTTGTCGCTGTATCTGTCTGTTCGCCTAATCTGTCCGGGACTCTCCCCTCTCCGCTACCACTGTCCATGTTTCTGCGTTAGTGAGTGTATAATTTGTTTGCATGCTTGTTTGCGTCATTGTTCGTAACAGTATGGCTGTTTACGTATCTGCCAGGGTCATCCACTGTTGCCCTCCCTTTGTTTGTATGGCCGTATGTCTTTGGGTGTGTGAATCTATTTGAACATTTGCTTGCAGATTGAGAATCACGCACTGGCTCTGACATTGGCTTGTCAGATTGTTGCACCTTGTCTCCCTGGCTTGCTGCTGCAAGTCTTTGCTCATCACCCTTTGCCAGCTTGTCTGTTTGCGACTCTGCGTTTCTTTAAAGACGGTGCCCTTTTTGGCGTTGGTTTCAGGGCACAAGAAACCAACTTTGGCAGGTCCACCCGCATTCATCAGACGTGGTTCCTTTGGAGGATTTTTGGAAGAGGCGCACCAGTGCCCGGCCAAGCCGGCGGAGGTGGCGCGCCGGGCCAGCCTGGTGGCGTTGAGGCCCGGCTTCGGGCGGTTTTGGTGCCAATCCCAAGGCCCCAACAAGGAAGGGAAGACCTGGTAGCACCTAAGCCTCTGAGAGGAAACATCACAGCGCAGCAGGCCCTGAGAGGCAGTTCTAGTTGTCCGACACCTCCTTCTAGCGAAAGGGAGGGCTGACAGAGCTGGACATCTGTCGCCACGTGGAAGGGCGAAGGGTGGAGCAGAATTTCAGTCAGCATTTCTCTTCTTTCATTCGTTGGCCGTTTTTTGGCCTTCTCCTGACCCCAGGCCGATTTGATTGAACAAGGCATGTCTTGTTCAATTGAACGGCCAGTGTACTTTTTCGAGTGCCGACCCATGCCTGACGATTTTCCGGGCGGCAGCAATACCCGGACTCCAAGACTGAACAGCCTGGTGCTGGAGCCAGAGCTTCAGTGACTACCTGTGGTGCTCTAGAATGGTGCTCCAGATTTCTGATTTTGTCCGCCTTTTCCCGCCCGTGAAGGTACCAGGGCACTCCTCCTTGTGCCTCTGAGGCAAGACGTGACGAACCCCAAAGTGTCGGTCTGCACTCCCAAGCGGCAACGGCATGGGAGGTACCGGGTCAACAAGAAGCTGCAGCGCTGCCTCTCGGCGGCCGGGCTGCTGCCCGGGCCCGAGGCCTTCCTGAGTCCGGATTTCCTTTGTCGACTCAGGGGCTGATAGGCACGGACTGGGGTTGAGAGCTTTTTCACCGCCATTTGGCCGGAACGCGGCGTGCTTGTTTTTTCCGTGCTGTCTTTCACGTGAGCTCTTCTGAGGCTGGGTGTGGCGGACCAGTGCGTGCTGCCAAAGGCACAGACCCAGAGAGCGGTTTTTTGCAAGGGGTGTGATTCTTCCTGGCCAGCTTTTTGCACCTGTATTTGAGAACCCTTTGAAAGGACAGCCTTCAATCATGTATCTGCGTGCTTCCTTGAAACCGCAGCGAGTCACGGCCAAGCAGGCAGGATTTGTTGGGGCGGGAGTAGCCATAAGAGCGATATCTTGACCCCGAGCCAGCGTTCCATTCCAGGCGATTCGGCACCCGGGCGCGACGGACCTGGCGGGGGAGGAACCGCCGGCGCCTCGTTTTGGGGGAAACATCCCCTGAAACCCATTCATTATCTTTTTTGAGAATCTGCGAGCTTGGGAACTTTGCATCCCATTGATGGGATGCCAAGTATTGCCGGACAAATTGATGGGAGATCAATGGGAGATGGAAACAGGGACATACACTGCACAAAAAGTGAACCACCTCTGTGCTTTCAGGGGAGGCGCGCAGTTGCTCCCCTGCAAGCCATGGAGCCCGGCAAAGGGGCTCCAAAAGAAGATTCCTCCACTGGCTTTCTGGGTTCTGCGTTAAGCTTCCCAAAATGTTCTTGGAGGCCAGCCGTGCGCCTTTACGGGGCCAGGGGTTATTGAAATGGGCGAGCCAAGTGTCCCTAAAAGAGGCCTCCCTAAAACACACTCAATCCCCCAAAACGGCCCCTCAAAGGCAGTCCAGAGCATTCCTCAAAAGCCGCTCAAAAGCCTAGCACTACCCTCAAAAGGGTCCCCCAAAGCATCTCATCACCCCCCTGCTGCTTGCCGAAGGAGACGCTGGCGGAGCTCAAGAGCCGTCGCCTGGCAGTGGTGGACGGGGCTTTCCCCGCAGAAGCGGTGGCCCAGGCGGAGGGTGGGCGGACCTGTTGGGTGTCATGAACCCTCCGTACTTAGGATGGAACGCAACTGGGGGAGTGTTGAAAGACAAGTTGACTCCACGGGTGCCTTGTGGCAGGGTAAGGCTGCTCAGCCCAAACCAAAGAAGCGGGTAGCTGAAGGTAAGCAGGGTCATGTCCAACAATGTGAGCGGCTGTTGCTTGCTCCTGCGTTTAGGATGTTGGTTTGATATCTGGCTTTGGTTGATCGCAACTTGTTCTTTTGCCGGTCCGCTGTCCGCAGGTACTAGTGCATGATCCGATGTTTTGGGATTGTCTTGCTACGATTTTCACTGGGGGACATCCTTCAAGATGGTTGCTGGACATGAGTGGAGGGCCATTTGTCTTTTATATTGTTGTGTGTTCAATGGGTGAATGTAGTTTTTCTTTTCTTTTTTCTTCGGGCCGATCATTGTGCTCTCAACCCAAAGCCCTGCAACCCTAAACCAAGCCTAAACCGACTTTACTAAACCCACCCTACAAATCAACCCTCGAACAAACCTAAGCAAACCCCAACACCCTGCTGAACACCCCCTAAACCAACCCGTAACCAACGCTTCACCCAACCCTATACCCAACCTAAACCAACCAACACCAACCTTAAGCAAACCCCGACCCAACCCCACCTCAAACCCACCCCAAACCGATGCTGAATCCACCCGAACTCACCCTGAACCCACGCGAAGACCCCATACCCACCCCAAACCAAGTGTATACCAACCCTAAACCATCCTAAATCACCCTAAACCCGCCTGACCGACCAAAGAACGATGCCAGGGGTGTCAACACGATGCTATAAATGCTGACGGTGTCGGTGTAAAATGCAGACAAGTTTATTGGAAGCGCCCATGTGACTTCCCGCGATGTTGCAGGTGCAGAAGGAGTTGCATGCCCTGCGCAGCTCGAAGCTCCTGCAGACACTCGGCCTCGAATCTTCGCAACCTGGCGTTTTTGTGAAGTGCTACCTAAAATTGAACAGGTTTATGGGGGAGTCCCACTGATGCCAAATTCCTGCACCGGTGGAGTGAAGCGTGCTTCAGCATGGTTCAGATGGAAACACTCTTGTGGAAAAATGTGTAGCATGACTTCGCTCCACGCTGCCCATCCACCTTGCAAGCTTCGCTGAGGAATGACACGAATGACGTGTGCAATCCTTTGCAGGACTCGTTGGTGTGTCGAAAGCTTGACATCATACACAGGAGCTGCAAGCATGCCAACATTTCCCAACGCTGATAGCCACACTATCGGTTCATCTTTGAGAATGAGCGGGCCTAGTGAGAAGGGTGGGCAACGTGGCGCGTTCGCACACACCTCGCCGTTCTTTGTTCTTGACTCTGCATTGCTCCCTCTTTTTCAAGCATGCTGCCAATCTTGAAGGTGGAACCCGTTTCCAAGTGTACTGTTTGTGTAAGTTCTGACCGTGGCCGTGTGGAGGAGGCGAAATATTTGCCCTTTGCGGGTGGTGCTGCTGCGATGGAGTTCCGAGAGAAGTGCCCCATCACCGTGCAGGCGCTTGGCCTCGTGCGCTCGGGCGCGTGTGGCTGTTTGACAGGCTGCCCCTGGTGGATGCTGAGTTTACGTTTTCCTGTCATGGACTTGTTTCTTTCTTTGCATGGCCGGGGTCCTCGCAAATGGTCACTTTGTCAGTGTGCATGACTGTCTGGGGATCGGGCCTTGCCAACAAGAGCCAGGCAAGCCTGTAGCTATGCAAAGCGTTTGTTGAAATCAGACTAAGTTAGGGGTTCCTTGAACTGGCTGGTTTGCATGTTAGCTTCTGCTTGAAACATCAAAAATGGATCCGAGTTTTGGCGCAGCCACGTCATTCCCTTCACCAGGTTCCGCGCTCCGCAAAATAGACGCTCATTGAAACAAATGGTCTTTGATGGCCCTTTGAATCTGGGTCTGCCAAAAGCCGGAAGGAAAATTGCCTTTGGCCCATTCAGAGGGTGCAGTTGGCCATATGCTTGGCACCGCGCTATCAATGCCCATGAGCTTATCTGTAGGTTATGCAGAAGCTCGCCGGATTGGCGGCGATCTTGGAAGACGAGCTAGGCCTGGCGTTCCTGCGAGAAAAAATGGAAAGACATGGCATTAATGTTCTGCTTGGGTTTGTATCTGTTGCTGTGTTATGTCAATGTTTTGGTTGTACGAATGCACAAGCACAAATGAAACGAAAAGCAAAGGGGTGAAACGATTTGCACACCCACACACACACACACACATTTCCATTGAATCGGCCGAGGGAAGGCAGCATAAGTTATTTTGTGTCGGCTGCAGCCCACTAATTGAATATGCTCTCGTTCGCCGCCTGGGGGGCGCAATAGCAGCAAACAAGTGCTTGTGCCACACCCGCGCAAGCAACACATTTTTAGTCGTCACCCAAGGAAAGGCACAAGAAGCACTGTTCGACTGATGGCGGCCTCACCACCAGGTGTACAACATCCGCTATAAATGCAATATTTCTTGACCCAACCACGGCGCCCAAACATACCTGCGCTGTTTGAAACACGGGCATGCCTTGCAGCGGGCCCAATGCACAACATTCCCATTGTTTCACGAGGACTCAGCCTTGCGGTGCCGCAGTCGGCGATGGCGGCCTGCTATCCGCCGAAGGCATCGTACAAGATGCACCTGGACAGCTACTTCTTGCAGGGCAGCTGGGCCCAATGGCAGATTGGGGCCCAGCAGGCTAAACGTCCTACCTATGCTTTTCACATCCTCATGAGCTTTTTTGAAGAAGGTTAGATGTTTATAAACCAAGCTTGCCACATCATGGCTGAAAGAGAGGTTTAGGGAGCACACAGCTGAAGTTGGGTGGTGCTGGGTTCCACAAGTAGCCCCCAATCGCCAGCCACCATTCACCAGGCATCCATTTTACTTGCCCCATCTTCTCCAAAGCCTTTCGACAGCCCGTCTCCTGCCCAGCAGTAAGCCCTTGGCGAGGGGACGGCAGACTTGCGGTCCTGATTCCCGAGACCACTAGCTCTCCAATAAGAATCTACTGGTCCAAGGAATTCTGCATGAATCATCTGCTTTCCAGCAAGCCACCCCGCACCCCTATGAAGGTCAGGGTCTCATGAAGTGCCCCGTATCTCATGCCTAGCAGTGGCCAAGTCAGTGCTGCCGGCTGGGCCGAGGCTTTCACTGCCAGCAGATTTGTTTGAATCAACTGATCTCAGGGAAGAAAGGAAGAGTGCTGTGGCCATGGTGGCGCCAATCAAAGGGAATGTAGGTAGTCGCCCGCATTCGTCTCCAACTGATGCGTGGTTGGCCGTGCGTTTGCTTAAGGCTAGAAGATGAGATGTTCAAGGTCCATCAGCGGAATTTATGTTTACCATTTCACCCCCTTTATTTTAGGGGCCTGAACGCGACACCCCCCTCCAACGGCGCATCTTGATTTCGAAACACACTCCCTGCTTGAACCTGCCGATGGGATTGTGGGATGAGCCCCCATCTGTTCTATCAATGATCGGGAAGACCCGACTGGGTGAGACTGCGGCTCCTCCAGTTTTTTTGTTTTCTTTGCCGTGTGGGTGCGTGTCCCCTCCAGACAATCAAGTACATGTTGGCCCTTGGTTAAAGAATGGGATTGATGATCACGCCGATGAACCAGTACTGGAAAAACAATGCGTGGTCAGCACACAAAACAAACTCCAACATGCGTTTCTTGTTTCGAGCTTTTCCAAATGTCCCACAAGTCCTAGGCGCTGGCAAATAGTTAGCAGTTTGAAGTCAGTGCCATGCATTCTCAAGCAAACTGATAAGAAGGACACCCATGGCGCAGGTTGCCCCGATGACATCCCCCGGAAAGTGACTGTGCTCCTCTACTGCAACCACGGCTGGAGCTCGGCCGTGGGCGGCGAGCTGCGAGTTTGGGAGCCCTTCGACCAAGGCGGGATGGAAGCTCGGATTCAGAGTGCGGTCCTTCTTATTTGAATCCGGAGTGAGCACTAAAGAGCTTGCAAGGGGTAACATGACCTCAAAGGTGACAAAGCGGGGGATAGATGTGCAAATCTTCGACATCGGTACGCTGGTGTGAAGCTGGCGAGTTGTTGGCACAGTTGTCACGACTCAATTCGAACCCTCTCAAGAGATGCTTCGCGCTCTTAGGAGGTAAGCGGCTGCTGTTGCTCATGTCTTGCTGTTTTTGGTTGGTGCTGTGTGCAGAAGCGTGCGGCTGTCTTGGGAGAGTTTCCCTTTGGTTTTGTATAGCTTCTGGGTGCAGGGGCCGTCATACTTCCTGGTTGTGATGTGATTTTGTGCGCTGCTGTTTCTGTAGGGCTTGTTTGGAAGCGGTGCCTGTGTGTATGCTCCAGTCAGTGTGGCAAGTTTCGATGCAAGCGTCAGTGTCAAAGTGGCGTGTGCAGTGGACCGGGCAGGAAGGGAGGTTGCCGGGTGGACCTACCACAAACGAACAACCAAGCCAAAGCACAAGGGCAATTCGCTCTGAGTTGAAAGAAGCCAAGACTATCTTCAGGGGCCTTCTTGCTTGGAGCTGGGTAAATCCTTCACTGCTCGGGCTCGACCATTGCAGCAACTCGGAGGCCCCACCGAGGTACGTTGAGCCAGTTCTTTCAGCTCCGCAGGTCGCGGCTGCGGGCGGAAGATCGAGCCGCTGGCCGGGCGGATGGTGGTCTTCATGTCCGAGGCGGCTTGGAACCGCACGCCGCGCGTTGGGCGTGTTGGCAGGGCGCACTGCCAAGGTTGAAAGAGTGTCCAAACACGTGCTTGGATAGAACGGATATGAACGGATGCATGCCGCGTGTTCTTTCCTTTTTTTTTGGGGGGGTCATGCCATGAATCAGTTGACGCACTTTTGGCAGGTATGCTGGGTATACAGTTGCAGCAATCAATATTTGAACAAGTGGTCCGGGCAAAGTCACCTTTCAGGATTTTCCCTTTTTGCAAGGGGGGCTTCTTTTTTTTCCCCCAAAATGTTTGACAAGCTCGGCGGAGGAACTGGCACAGGTTTGGCAAGCTACAGTTGGTCCTCTGGCTGGTGAACCTACATGGGACACCCTTCCAAGCATGGAACATAGAAAGAGGCCCAGTGAGACGACGCTATGCTTCCAGGAATCCTTCCGGTTTGAGAAGGCTTGCCTTTTGCGCCTGGGTGGCCAGGAGATTTGGCACGAGGTCCTGGAGTCACACGGGGATCGCTATGCTCTCACTCTTTGGATCCACGATCGTCAGCGCGCGATGTGAACAAAGCAGCGCTTGCGGTCTGCGGCTCCGGGTGGCTGTTGCAGCGGTTTGCTGAGTGCCCTCTTAAGAAAAGAGTGGAGCCCCCAGATTTTCGGCTCCCGTGCTGAGGGTGGAGAAGTTTAGCTTCGTGGAGGACTCTCGCAGCTCGGCTGCAGAACAACCGCTTCGCGATTCCCCGCTTTCGATTGTAGCGGGCACTTTGGTCATGTTGGAAGAGGTCAGCCCGGCTTTGGCTTTCGCGGCCAGGTCCTAGCAACGTCCGCCGGCAGCCAACCTACAGAATGCAGCTAATGTCCGAAAGGATGACAAAGGCAAGGTGCAAGTGCTGTCAGGCTGCCGTAGAACACATGAGCCCTGGCTTCTTGTCGTCACGTTGGCGGCTTTCACAGGCTGACTATGCAGATGTGTGGAGTCACTACCTGGGGTGAGCTTACCATTCTTCCACACGTGAGCAATTTGCAACAGGACCAGGAAGGGCCGCCTCAACAGTGCATTTAACGAACAATTGCCTGGTGCCTGACCCATGTCCATGATTTTTGGGTAACCTCCTGCGAGTCTCTCTGCAGCTTTTGCATTGCTTTCCCTGCAGTCAGCGAGCGCTGGCGACATTGGCACTGGCAGGCGTGGCCGAGGTGAAACCGGTGCTGTGCAGGGGAGTTTGTGCGGTTTCACCAGGACCCGCCTGCCGTCCGTGCCTTTGACGCCAACGCCCTCCTTTGTCAACCTTGGGCGGACCAGGCGGGGGGAGCGCCACGTCTCGCAACCGACCAGCCTCTTTGGCATGCAGGCCGGCCATTGTCCGCTGAACGAGGGCCCTGAGTCGCGTTTTTGTTCCCCAGTTTCTGGGACCGATGGGCCTTGCCACAGTCTGCTGTGGTGGAATAGCGGCATTCAGGTTGCTGAAAGTTGTGGTGTTGTGCGAGCCGTGCATGTCACTTTTCATGATGCGCGCCCCCTAGGGGCCGCAGCCGGGGGCAAGAAAGCGCCCCAAGCCAAGAGAACAACTTGCTGCTTGGCTGATGGGCCTCACCCCGCTCTCGAAGTTTCAGCTGCCAAGCAGCCGAGCTCGAAAAGGGTTTTGGCACACTGCGAGGCTCCCTCGCACAACGGCCCCCCCAAATGAGAGGTCCGTTTCTTGGACTGAGTTTGGAACGTTCTACATTTTGACTTGTACATGCTCCCTAGACAACGAGAGGTACATTTCTTGACCTTGACCCCTCAGTCCAATCATAGGACAGTGCGCGCGCATTCTCTCTCTTTCTTTCTCCTTCCCTGTTGCCAGCAGCTTTTGGCGGCTAGCGCAGGGGAGTGGAGGCAATGCTGCAGCCACAGATTGCTCCAGAAATGTTTCAGCCTGAGTTGCAGACTGCGCCGCGTGCTGTTGTGGGGAGCAGAGACAAAAGAGCCCAACCGTGGCCGTCAAGAGCACCTTGAGTCCTCAAGGGGCCAGGTTGCAAGTGATGGACTTTGGTCCCGGCTCACGTCAAAAAATATTGGCCTTTTTTCTAGAGGGCAAGAACGGCAAATTAGAACAGGCCGAGGATTTCTCAATTGATGATGCTCGGGCGGCTGGTGCGATTCCTGCTCAAATCAGAGCCATTTGGACTAGACAACATCCGCCAAAATTCACGGCTTGGTGCAGTGCCAGCAGACTTTAACACGCCACGTGCTACATCCACATTCCAGGAGACTTGAGGTGGTGAGACTAGCCAGGAAGAGTTGCCACGAGCTCATCCGCAGCATCTTGGCAGCAATGCACTCTTTGCCCGAGCCTCTCCGCACGTGCCGCAGTCGAAACAACTGTCTATTCACTGAAGGTTGTCATGGACTCTTTTTTTCGCAGGTGGGCAGAGCTGGCTGATGGCCGCTACAGTAATGTTGCAGTTGCTCCCTCTATGAGCTGACAACACCACGCACGGTGTTGCTTCATTGTCTCTCTGAGGCAGCCTTGGCAAGTGTTGCTGGCCGCCAACTGCTTTCCACGGTGTAGCAATTGCAAAAGCAACACTTGCTAGTGGACCCTTGACCACTGACTGCAAGGAACAGTCTTGCAGTTTACCTCTGTGAATGGATCGCTTTGCTATCGTGAACCTACCGTTGCTAAGCTGCTAGTCAGCGGTCCATACCGAGGCCATGAATCGCACTCAAGGAGGCCACGGGCTAATTCGACCTTGCGTGCCCTCACGACCTTGGCGTCTTGCCAGGAGCCAACGCCGAGTCAAAGGTGCAAGGAGAAGAGGAGGCCTCTTGCTTCCGCACTGTTGCTAAGAATGCTAAGAGCAACAGGCGCACGGAAGCTGGTGCTTGATGGGGGCCCAATAATGGACCAGTCGAAGCCGACCGTCGGAAACGCTGTCGTTGCTTCAGGCTTTGCTCGAGTGCTCCACTTCAGCAACGTCCGCATCGCAGGAGGGCCAGGACTGTGTAGTTATCAGATCTCGCTTCGGCGTTGTCGAAGCGAATTGATCTAGCCTGAGCACGTTTTCAAAGTTTTGGCATTCTTCCACTGTGTCAAAGGAAGTTGTCGCGGCAAGGCAATCCTTCCCATTCTCCCTTGCCTGCATTGAGGAACTAGTCACCTTAGACTGCCTGCCAGGAAGACAGCCAAGTGTCGCAGGAGAGCGCAGAGGAGATCAAGTCACGAAAGCGAAGCTCGGCTGGTTGATTGGACCTGTTTAAGGTATACGCCCCTTAGTTGATGCAGGGGCAGTCCTTTTAAACACTTCCCATGGTTCCCTTTGGTGGACAGACGCACAACCGGGCAGAGGGAGTCTCATGATTCCAGTTTGGTAATTAGGGATCTGACATCTTTGCTTTGCAAGCGATGGGCCGTTCTTGCGGCCTGGCTCTTGGCAACCGTGAGCAACACCGGCACTGTCTTCTTTGGGAACCGTGCAGAACGCAGGCCAAGGCATACTGCGCTGCAATCCTAGCGCTGCCATGCCCACGATCGCTTGGGATCATAGCCATAAGTGGAACAAACAAAGCAAACGATGTTGCATTTGGCTGGCATGAGGCTTCTCCCAGGAGGGCATACGCAAGTGTCATTTCCATTCGGCCTTGTTCGCCCCGATGCCTGTGCGTATTTTTTTTGAACAAGCGCCGCCCCTAAGAGAATATGAGCCCTTTCACAAAAGGGGAGCCAAAACAGAAAATACACACGCACACACATTTCAGAAGGTTCTCCATTTTGTGACAAACAGGCGGAATCTTGATTGAATAGATTCTTAGGAGTGTTCTTGTTCCGACCTCTGTCCAGGCTGGGCTGATGTGGAGTCGGATGACGAGGACCACACCCACTTTGATTTCCTCGGTGCCAAGGGCGTGCTGATTGAGCGCAGAGAGCTGCTCGGCGTGGCAATAGGTTCTCTATTGCAAGAAGCTGTTTACAACACAAAGCAAAATAGCAGGACACAACAGAAACCTAGGAAAGCGCTGGAATACAACAGATACCTACTACCCACGACGTGGTACTCCATAAGTTCTTGGTAATAGCTTCCCGCCAATATTGAATGCGCATGCCCCAGCCAAACAAAGAAGGTGGAATATGCGCTGGGACAACTGTTAAATGCGTCCAGGAGGTGGGGTTCCTTTATTGCACTTAGGGCACTTGTTTCATTGAGCGATCATTGAGCGGCGGAGAATTGACCCGAGAGGGCATTTTGGCGGCTTTAATTTTTCAGGCTTCCAAAGCGGCTTGGGCGTTGTGTGCGAGCAAGGACGACTGATGGAAAGGCAGATGAGGATGAAACTCCGGCATCAACTGATGAATGGCAGGAGGCAGGAAGCCCTGCTTGTATTCCTTCTCCTGCCTGTGTGCCTCGCTCCCTTGCCCGGCGTGCTTTGCCTCTCCGAGGTCGGGAAGACTTCCAAGAAGAAGCCAAAGGAGCCGAAGGAGCCGAAGGAGCCAACGGAGCCACGAGAGCCGCGGGCGCCGAGGCCCCGCCCTCTCCAAGTGCCAAGTGCCTTCGTAGACTTCACCTGGCCAGGCGGGATGAGCGGAAATCCGGCGAACACCGCCGCGGTGACCGTCGCGACCGGCGCAAAGAGGAGATCTTGGGAAGCCTGTTGCCCTGGTGGGAGGGGGTGGATTCTGCCCAGCATCCTGACGCTTTGCCTTTGTGACCTTCGTCTTGTTTCCCTAAATTGAACTCTCTTCAGGAAAGTATAGTGGCACAACGTGCTCCCTACCTGGCCGCAAGGATGACAAAGACAAGAAGGAACAGCAGCCAAGGCTGGGCATTGCCAGGGCTATGAATCCCTATGCAGGGATGCAGAGGGCCTCGAAAGCACACCGTTTGCCAGCGGCATGTTTGTGCCACTTTAGAAAGATGACAGAAAGTGGGAAACACATTTTCTGCGCTGTTGACTTTAGGGAGTGTGCCGATTAGGAGTGATTGGGGGGCGGGCAGGGAAATGTGATCCAAAACGTGTGCATACCTTGGCGTAAGCAGCCAAAAGTACAGGTCAGAACTGATCTCCTGCTTCCAATGCCCTTCATGGGTTTGACAAGCAGGCTGAACCTACCTCCTAAGGCATTTTGCTCGCCTTAAGCCGCAGGCGAAGGAATGACAGTGACAAGCCTGAACGCGACCAGCGCAGGAAAGGTGACCTGGCCAGCGTTTTGGAGCGACCAGCTGGGTTCAGGCACCCCGAGTTGTTTGCGCATGGCCCCTCAGATGGCCGGTTTGGGACCCTGGATCGACACCCGAAGTCTGTTCTTGCAAGACGGCGCGGCATATATACTCTGTGGAAGAGTGACACCCACCATAGGCTTCAACACCAACAGGACCCATCATGCAAACTCTGAGAGCAAGTGCGGCGCCAAGGCGATGCTGACAAGGCCGACACAAAGGCAAGGGCGGGGAGTAGGGGCAGGTTGCTTGCCTCATGTCTAAAGGTCTCACTTGTGGCGCCTCAAAAGTCAGCGCTCATCTAAGACACCTTCAGCGCCTTGCGGCGTTTGGCAGGATCCAAAGCGACAGGGCCAGGGTCAGGCGCCGAAAGAGACTTGGAGAAGGAAAGACAGCCGCGAGGAGACTGGGTACTGTAATGGGCAGCTTGAGGTATGATGCACCCCTGCCTCTTGACAGCATCCTGACAAGGACACGTGCCTTGCATTGGAGGGGGGATGGAACATCTTGTTCCCGACCCGCGGTTCTCCGTCCTGGTGAAGATTGCAAACTCCCCAAAACTTCAGCTGACCGTCCCAGGCACCTTTCGAATGCCCTGCCCCAGTCAGCATACGGAGCCCCACCCTTGAGCCAGGAGCCGAAAGAGGGGGCTGCACAGAAGGAATGGGTGCGCGCCACCCCAAAGGACGAGGCCAGAAAAAGACAAGTAGTAAATTAGTAAGCACCACACACAACTATATGCATTGTTTAAGTCACATGAAACAAGAGATAGGCACACAACAGATGCATGCACCTATGTACATACATACATATATACATAGACACACTTGAAACATGGGTGTTTGAATGTCAACCAGCTCATCTAGGTTGAAGTTGCAACCCACCCCGATGGATGATACTTACCCTTCTTGGTAGTCTCAAGGTAGGGCCACCCCTCGGCACAGCGCGGCCTATCTGAATGTACGATTCTGGAGGTTATCGTTGCTGGTGCCCTGGATAAATAATCTGGTCAACTTTCTTGGGTCTCCATTCTCAAGAAAGGAACATTCTCACCTAGGAAAGGACATCCCGGATTTCCACCTTTCCATGCAAGAAAGCCGTTGGCCAACTCGGCTGAGAGCTCGCGCTTAAAGCGCTTTGCCACTAACGGCCTGACCAGCACCTGCGTTCCCAAACTCATAGAAGTGGACTCCGGCCTATACATTTTGAAAGGTCCTCCTGCCCACTTCGATTGTAGAGAGGGTGGCAACTCTCAGACACCAGGCCAAGGCGGACAAGGGTGACAAGGGCGACAAGGGTGACAAGGGCGAGGTCAGGGCCGAGAAGGCCAACAGTCGCAAGGAGTGGCTAGGCTGCACAAAACACGGGGCTTAGGAGTGCACAAGCCAAAACGGGATACTCCAAAAGGAAGCGCTAAGGTTGACAAACTCTCGATCCAACATCCTTACAGTGTCAATCCGACCTTTTTTGGGTGTGTGCACCCCTATTGAGACAAACCTATTCCACCAGCCGGCGGCACCTCATCAGCTGCAAGGGCAGCCCATAGCACAGCAGACAACCAACCCTGCCTCACTGAGATCAGATGACAAGCCGCGGCAGCGCCAGGCCTCAGGCGGGGCAAGCCACGTTTAAGAATCGTGAGGTACTTATTCTTGGGTTTTGGCTCGGCAACATGCCTTTTGCCTTTGGCCAAAGGAATAGGTTTTACCCGCAAGTGCTGTTACAAACTCGCCTCGCCAGCAGCCGACTTTGCCGCCGCATATGTAGACCACCGCCTAAATTCAAACAGAAAGCACAGGTTCCAACCTTTTGGGAAGTTTACGGGGGAACCCAACCACCTGGAGGGGTCTGAGGAGTCCCAAATTTTGAGGTGGATGTTTGAAAGGTTTTACTGTTTCAGCAACTTTATCTCGCAGTCAGGCCGTCAGAACGATGGCCGGGAGGGCCAGAAGAGTGAGGGCCGTGATCGTAGGGGCGGCCGCGATCGCGGTGGCCGGAGGCGCGGGGTGCATGTGCAATTTGAATGTAAGTTGACATTTAGGAGTTCCCAACTTCATGGTTACTGGCTCTAGCGTAACAATTTGGTCCACCTTTAATCGACTTTTACAGGTACTTGACCATGCAACACAGAGAGGTCACCATTTGGTTCTGACCTGTGAAGAAAAGGTAGGTGGGTGCCTTCGTGTTTTCATTTGAGCTGCAAGCCATGAAGCCGTCCGGTGAGGTCTGGCAACGGCTCCGGCAAGGGCAACACTGCAGAGGCCAGACCCGGCAGCGGGTTCCAGGTGGCCAAGCAGGCCTCTCACAGCCATCTTATACAATACTCCATCTTGCATCGAAGGAAGCAAGTATTTGCTGCCATGGCTGGGCTGGAGCATTGGTGTGAGTACCATTCAGAGCTACTTGGACTCGTTGCGTTTGAGGAGATAGGACCCTGCACTTTGTACAAGCACATGGTGGATGCGCAAGAATGTGTGTTCGGATTGTCTTGAACTCAGGCCAGTTGCAATTATCACGGGTCACTATTGAAGGGTGTGGCGAGGCACTGACGTTCAGGCGTTCTTGCTACTTGCAACTTGACATGGCAAGCCTAGATTCAAGCAACCTGAGTCTTCGCCGACGCCTTTTGAAGATGCTTAGTGACCCATGCAGCCTCTGATATTCGAACGGAATGGGCTCCCTGCGGTGAACTTAACTGGCCACGATCATTCTATCTTCTCCTGATTTCCCCCCTGTTCCAGGACTGGTTTGCGAGCCGAATGCAGGCTGCCGCCTGGCTGCAAGCTTTGTCGTCGCTGTGCTTTTGCAGCGCACGGTCGATAGACTTTACCTACCTCCCACCGAGGCAGCATAAATGCAGCCAAGCAGCTCGGCACAGTGTGGGGACGCTGCCATCCTCCCCTAAGGGCGTGGAGTGTCGCCCTTGGTTGGCTCCTTCTCCTGCTGAATCGAGCCCACTCAATGGCGTAAAAATGGCGAAGTGAGTATCCTGTCCCCACCTTTGAAGCAGGAGCCGCCTTCACTTCCGCGGAATTACGATTTCGCCCATGTTTTGCGCGGATCTCAGGTCGAAAATCATATAGCTTCTGCTCTTGCACGTGTGCCCGCTGGTTTGTGAAGGTGGTTGTATGACTGGCAGGTGGCCTTTGTGGGTGTGGGAAGCGCGTTTATTTTTTTGGGCGATGGAAGGGCCGCCTGCCAATGACAGAGGATGCGATGGAACAAGCCTCGCTGCAATGCCAGTTAGTTTGAACAGATCTGACTCGACCTCATTGCATGGCCTTCCAGCCGTGTGGGGCCAATCTGGTTTGAAGATCTGAGAATTGGGGAGGTGGGAATTTTGCTGGTGACTAAGAGTGGAACAAACAATGAAGATTATGCATACTCTTTAGCAGCGTTAGCAGGACCATGTTCAAAGCGTTGTTTTGAGTTGTTAAGAAGCCATTTGCTGTCTCCTGACGAGCTGATGCTAGCATGTGCACCGTTGTCACCCAAGGGTGGGTGCGGACCCATATTTTTTTTTGCAATGTTCGGTGAGTGCGCCAATGATTTTGACACAGGCTCGCGTCTTAGGAAGCTCGTCCGTGTCACTGTGAGCTGAGTGCAAGAGCCAGGCTCGTGCATCCCACCACAAGGTTCTTTGGGGACGCCCCGTGCTTTGAGAAGCGGTGAACTCGCACTTATGAGGCACTTTGCACGGCAGAACCTCAATCGTAACTAGACGACTTGAAAAGTGTCAAGCGCTTTGCGGCCTTTTGGTGCAAGAGCGAGACCGCAATCGGAGCTCACGCGATAGATTAAGCCAAGACCCAGAGACTGGGCCTATAGAATTGAATTGAAGGCTCTGCCATTCGTTGGGATGAGCTGCGTCTTCAGCCCTTCAGCATTTTCGTTGTAACGCATCAAAGCTCGAAGCACGCTGTCCATGTTGCTAGCAGCTCATCTACGAGCTTTGGCCAGGCTGAAGCTCCAATCTTCAGACTTTTAAGAGGCCAAACGCCCATGGCACATGCCAACCATTTTGGGACTTGTTTTCGGATCATTTTCAGAAGAAATTATCTTGTCTTTCCTTGTGACCCCCCCCCCATGGCAAGCTTTGGCATGGCATGTGCCATTGGGTGCCACTGACCTTTGAAACTCTGCATTTGTTTTCACCGTTATCTGCGATTCTCAAATGCGACTCTGTGCGCAGTTCATGTGAGCCACCGTCCACGTGGTTGGCCGTTTGCCCACAAAGGTCGTCTGCCCACAAACAGTTGTTGCTTGTTGGTGTGATACCTGTCAATGTTTCAACCAAATACCGACCGTGACTCACTCACATGCTCACCTCTTTAGTGCTGGGACTGGACATATTCACTCACTTGACGATTTCGGGAAAGCCATTTAGAAGCTCATGGAACGTCATGTTGACCAGCCTTGTTTCGGCTGTCTGTTCCCAGCTCTATGAGCAGGTGAGGTGGCGACAGTCCATAAAAGTCCACCAAGAATCAGGATTCGATGGAATTGCCCAGCTTCCCCGGCCAGAATGTAAGGTGTTCTTTCTGACCGCCGCGTTTCATCATGGCTGCAACTGTTTGTGGCTGTCAAAAGTTGAACCTTTCGCGGGGCATGTCCTCAGAAAGAAAAAACGGATGTGAAGGCTGCGCGGCGTATTCTCCGAGTTTCTCCCGGGAAGCTGGGCAGTCGTGCCGGTTTCAAGGGCCGACGAGACCGAGGCCAATGCTCAGCCTTGGAGCTTTTGACCATGGCCTAAGGGCATGGCATGTGCGCAACAGCATCGCCGCACCATTAGGAGCCGCTTTTCGCCGACCCGTGCCCTTGAGACCTCCCAGTGAAATCCGTGCAAACTCACCCCACCCCCCCGCACTGAAACGTATAGTCGCGCATATCTGGGAGAGGTATCATCACATTGCCGGGATCCGGCGAGAGTGGCGCTGTTCTCCTTTTTATGTGACAATTGTGACGGGCTGAGTGGATGTGCCGCGGGCGAATGCAGACTGCACTTCGCACGGCTTTAGATGTCTCAGCTTGCAGGGTCCATTGCGTGCCAGTCCCACATATCAAGCCTGCGAAACTTGCAGCGGGAGCTGATCTCGCGTTTTCTGGGGATGCCTTTGTTCGCCCCCCTCGGGGCATGACCAGAGGGAACGGGTGCAGTAAGTCATGAGAACACCCCGGACCTCCCTCAAGTGATTGGGGCCGCTGTAACCACCAAAAGGTTCTCAGGACTTTTCTAAGAACCCCTTCCAAGAAGGCTCTAAGACTCTGCCTGGGTCTTGGCTTTTCTCCCTAATAACGTTCTTGGTTCTGCGGATCGTTGTGCATCGTATTTCGCCCGTACGATCTCAGAGCCATCGTGAGTACCTTGGGGGTAAGTTATTCATGGTCCCTGAATGATGCATTTGGGCCTTGGGCCTTTCTAACTTGACTTTGGCCAGCTGATTTTGAGGAACCCCCTGTAAGGCAGGTGGTTTTGGAATGTAATCATGCTTCAAGGAACCATGTTGTGTCCTAACAGTTGCAAAGGTATTGGGAGTGTTCCGAATTCTTTCTTTGCGTTGACTGACGCTGTGGGCCCTTGCCAACTACTCCACAGTGCTGCAACTTGCAGGCAAAAAAAGGGAGGCTGCGCCAGCCTGAATGAGTGACAGGTGAACCTAGTGGTTTTGTAGGGGGGAGGAGGTTATTTGACCTTCTTTTTTCGTTGGGTAATGGTTCGGCGAAAGGGGAAAACCCTGAGAGTGAAGTGCTGGCTGTGCATGTGCAAATCCTGTTGCATTTTCCCCTCCAGGCATCTGAGAGCGAGTGAGTCAACTTGCCATTTCACACAATAGGGGCCACTCCCAACTGTGGACGGACAAATTCTGGCACCACCCACGTGGGAAAGTCAACCATGTGCGCCAGTCCCAGGCAAGGCCGCCCAGGAGGAAGCCGAGTTCTGAGTCTCATTTTTCCTTTTTTGGCCAAGCGAGTTGGACTCACCCGGCTTCGGGTCGTGTAGCCCCGTTGCGCAGCCATGGCATTGCTGCAAAGCCATGCCCGGCGCACTACAAGGAGGCAGGTTCGCAAACTTTGGTAAGGTTTTGCGTCGTCTGCCCTTCACACAAATAATGCTAGGAATGATCGAAATGTCAGGTGATCAAGGGTTGGGAAGTGCTTTCCGCAGGCCGGTACGGTCGCATCTCCTTGAACTGGCTGCGATGAGGCTTTCATCCTTTTCTGTCCTTGTCCATCCCCCAAAGGATGAAAGCTCAGATGCATCCTCACACTTCTGGAAAGGGTGCGCGTGCCTCGGAATTGCCACAGCCCCGCGTGCCGCGTAGAATGTTGGTCATCCAACTCCGCTTTCGCAAAGAGCCAAAAGCTCCGCTGTGCAAAGCGAGCAGACCCCCGAAAAGTTGGCCTTTTCTTTCTAGGTCTCTGAAGCAATAGAGACGATAGCCTGGTGCACGCATGGCTTTTCAACTTGTCACACTGTTGAGTCTGGCTTCAGGGCATGTCAAAGCGGTGCCCGCAAGGCAGCTACACGAATATTCAAACAGCATAAGCATTGACATAACGCGAACGAATGTCCCCAACCATACTTTCTCTTTGGTTTGCGTTTTCTCTTTCCCTTTCGCTTTCTCTTTGTTTGTTATCCTTCTCTTTTCTCTTTGTCTTTCCCTCTTTCTTTCTCATGTTTTTCTTTTCTTGTTCCTCATTCTCTGTTTTTCTCTCCCTTTCTCTGTCTGGCTCTCTCTCTCCCTCTCCCTCCCTCTCTCTCTCTCTCTCCCTCCCTCCCTCCAGCCCACGAAAGTGCAGAACGCAGAGCGCGGCGAGTCTTTTTAGGGTCTACCCACTGAAAGTCCGCAGAGGGTTGCGCGCAAGCCAAGTGAACATCCCGCAAACAAAGAACACGAGTATTTGAGGGTCCACCCGCCCAAAGAGCGCAGTGGGTTCACTTTGTGAGGGTTGCACAACGGCACGCGCGGCCGTGCCAACGGACGTGTTGCAGACCCCGTCCTGAGAACTTCCTCCGTCAAGCGTCACGACTGAGGTGGTGTGCACGCAAGCGGAATAGCTGACTTCACGCACAGGGCCGCATATTCGGCCCGCTTCTATGCCCCAGTTCCGCATCCGGTTTCGAAAGAGAGCGAGCTAGCTAGCTCAAAGAATTCCAGTACCATGCGAGTTCCTTCTAAACTTCCATCAACATAACTATCGTAATCGTCGTGGCTCCAAGCCGATTTTCGGTCCACCGGGTCCAATTCTCGCAGGCGGAGTGATGGATCGCCTTCCTGCCAAGCAGAAGGCGACAACGCAGAAGAAGGCAGCTTTGCCGAACAAGTCTGGAGCTGTTTGTATCTCCGCCCATCTGCCACTGCGTTGGAAAGTCCAGGAAGGCTTGCTTTACGACTTTTTGGGGACTTGCTTCATGAGGCACCGGGGAGAGAATACCAAAAGAAGGAGGTATATCAAAACCTTTTTATTGAGATACATCCCTCACACAGTTTGAGAGTCTGGGTTGTTATGGCTCAATCAAGGGGGTCATGAGCTAGTTTCTACCCAGAGTATACTGGATGCGCAAAAAATGGTTTGCACAGGGCACCTTAGGGCTGCCTTTCTTGGTTTTGTTGGTTGCCCCAAAGAATCAGACATGCAGGGGTTCTGGTTTGCACATCTTCCCATAGAGCCGCTCCGTGAAGGATAGATCCAAGGCCATCTGTTTTACAGCGATATCCGATATCCTCTAAATGGGGTGGTACGGGCGAGTTTTTTCTGGCCGAAATGCATCCCTGTAGAAGTGTCCGCGGCCACTAGTTCAGCGCAATTCCCGGAGGATGCGAGCCCAGCTCGAGCGGCTGCACCGCTATCGTTGAGGCGGTCCCGTCGTTTGCGGTCCGTCTGGTGGACCTGGCAGGAGTTCTCTGGATTCATCTGCTGGACCTTGATTGTTTGGTGGGTTCCCACAAAATGGGCCTGGGTACTTGGTCAGTTCCCAAGAAACACGAC